AACAGCGTTCACGTCCCGCATCAACGCGGGCCATCCGACCATGACCCACAGCAAGGTCACGAGCGTCGCCCGCTCGATCCGCGCCAGCCGCACGGTTGCATGATGCCCCAACGATTTGACTGCTGTCACGCTTTCATGCATGTAACATACGTAAGAAATGCACTCGACCAAAGTTGTCGCTCAAATCCTTGTGAGACGGCATTTTACGGCCTGCAGGGAGTATTCTTCCCCACTCATGCAGCTCTCCCCTCCTCACGTTAACGAGCACATACACGTTCGGTTGCACGACGGCTGGTCCGCCGCGTCGTCATAGGCTGGCAGCGAGCCGCCCGGTCCAATGCAGACGGAACGGTGTCCTACGCGCTCCTCACGGCGATGCCCGATCGTAGCCATGCCACGGGGCTGTGTGCTTTGCTTCCTTGTGACGTCTGCGGGTGCCCGACGGCCCGACGGCGTTGGTCCCATCTGGCCACCTGGACTGTTGTTCGGTTACTGGTACATTGAACCCTTGGACAACGAATAATATGATGGCCGCCTGACGATCGATATTCAGTTTGGAAGGTCATGGCGATTTTTTCGTCGGCAGGATGGCCAACATGGGGAGCGACTGGTTTTACATCGCGTGGTGCGCGCTCAGCTTGGTCTTGGCGCTCGTGTGTGATTTGGAAGCTCTCCTTCACGACCCTGCAACTTACGGCAAGGTAAGAAGTGCACGACTCGTTTGGTGGACTCATCGCGGTGTAGGTGGACCCGATCGTGAACTGGCCGCCACCCGTCGTCGTCCGCGCGCTGCACCAGTGGGGCACCGACTTTGACCCGCTCTTGCAAGCCCGCCCTTTGTGGTTCAAGGTACTCGATCGTATGGACATGGTCGCCCAGATATCAAGGCGTTTTCTCGTGCCTAGGTGTGCTTTGTCATGGAAATGACGCTCCAAGTCCCGTACTACATCCTGGCCATCTATGGTTTCATCCACCGTACGTGGGTGTGCCACCGTGGCAGACGGAGCTAATGTCGACGGTGGGTAGGTTGTGAATGGCTTCGCGTCCCAACGCTGGTCTACGCCGCGCAGTCGGTCACCGTCATGGTGATTGTGCTGACGGAGCAATTCGTCGGCGAATTCAAAACGTCTGCGCCCCTTGTCATTCTCGCGTCGTACGTGCCGTTCGCCATCGTGCCCATCTTCTTTCTTGTCCGAGCCAGTGGCGCGACCATGTTTGGCGAGACAAAGACCAAGCGCGCGTAGACGCGCCATGTGGAGGTTGCATTGCGTAATAAAGCATGGGTTGAGAAGCGGTCGTATCATCCTCTTCCCCGCACAGCCACTCGACCATGGCGCACGACTTCTTATATGTGTGGTCTCGGCGCCGTGTGTGTGTGTGTCGCATGCAGCCGTCCCGCCCTCCTCCCTTGACAACGCATAATGGCGGCGCATGGCCCCGTGAATGGTGTGAGCTCTGTGAGGTGTGCGAAATCTACGCCAAGGGTTTTTTGGTTCGTCCTGGAACGATCCCTGCATTGAGTTTACCCAACAGCTCGGCGCGTCGTTGTCTGGTAGCGAAACCCTCTCTCGATCGACTCGATGCCATCACTTGATGGCGTCGTGCATCTGGCGCGCGTTCATGGCGCCTGTGCAGTTGTAATAGGCGCGCGTGATGTTTTGCCATCCCGCAATGTGGACCGTCGTCTGGTTGGTCTGGAGTTGGTGCCACAGGACAAACCCTGGCTTCTTGGCGTCGCCCAAGTGCATGCGGTGCTTAAAGTCGTCCGGGTAATCTTGAATGTCGCCGCCGGCAAAGCAGTTGACGTGGTGGAGCAAGTTGATTTTCTTGAGCTCGACGAACGCGGCCTCCCGCGTTAGACCTTGCTCCACGGCCATCGACATGACGGCGTCCTCAAACTGGAGGGTCTTGACGTTGGCTGGCTTGAACGGAGCGACGACAGTGTGGTCTTGTTCAAAGTGGCGTGTCGACTCGATCGTGGTGGCCGTCGCAGCGCCGCACTTGGTGTACAAGTCGCCAACTAGCCCGACCAAGTTGTAGCTGTACCCGAGTGTCCGGGCATCGGTCAGCTTGTAGTATTCGCTCGGCAACGGCTTGAAGAATGGGCCGATCCACGGGTCGTCCTCGACGGGAATCGGCATTTGGTCGTCCAAGTCGACGTGGCTTCGCATCATGATCGAGGTCGTCGGGCCCACCGGCAGCGATCCGTCGCCATAGTTGACTGTGCACCCCTGGAACGAGCTCTCGTGGGCTTGCTGGCCGGCAGCGTCCAAGTTCAATGGCTCGACTTTGCAGTGGTAAAACACCGTGTGGAGCACATCCACCATTGCGTGGTGCAAGTAAAAGATCGGGTCCATCGGGGACAGGAACCCATTTCCCATCGCGCCGCGCAGTTCCATGTGGACCGAGCCGTGAATCCCAAGCTCCAAATCCGCCGACACGGCCGCAATCGACGCCCCCATGTCGAACAGCGACGACCGCGCGTTCGAGATGCTCCAGTCCGGCATGGTGGTTGCGTGCCAGTCGCCGCGGCGAACACATCCAGCCTCGGACGCGTTCAGCGGCGGCGACGACACACACAACGACGTGTGCCCGGCATCGGCGGGCTGCGCGTCCCGGCCTTGAGTGGACCCGCCCAAGTCGGCCGTCGCGATTGCGCACTCGCCGATGGTCTTGCACTGGTTGCTTTGGAACTGAACATAGTCTTGGGTGTAGTCCCAGTAGGCAAGTGTGAGGCATCGATAGGCCGGACCGAGGCTGCGCAGCATGTCCTCAAACGCTAGGATGAACTTGCGGTGCCAAAACAAAAACACACACGTCCCATGCGCTTCTTTGTTGGCTTTCAGGTCGTTGTGCACGGACAGGAACCGCTTGAAGAGACCGCGCTTCATGGACTCTTCGACGGCGCTGATGAACAGAGCTTTCTCCGCGGCCGTCGACGCACTCCATGCTTTGCGCTGCCGTTTGCCGCAACTGGACAGCGTCGTCAGAGGTGTCGGCGCAGGCGTCGGGGTGGCAGTCGGCTGCGACGTTGTTGGACCGGGAGTTGTCGGGGCGATCGTAGGTTTGGTAGTTGTAGCGGCGGGGGTGGTCACCGCGGTCGACACAAGCATGGATCGCGCTCCCGCCGAGACGCGACGAGCTCCTTTCGTCGACTTGAGGTAGCACGTTCCCCATGACCACGTGAAGAGCGCACATCCTGCCGTCGATCGGCACTCGTCGCAACATTCTTCCGCAGTCGTCTTGGCGACAGCGGTCAGGTCCCCGCCAGGATAGTCCACATTATCTTCGATGGCGGCGCACGTGGGAAAGAAAGACGAGAGAGCGGACGCGGCGGCGCCAGGCAGCACCGACGACCGGCCCTTGCCAGATTTGAGGTAGCAGTTGCCCTGGTAAAACACGTACGCATGGCACGATGACGTCGCCGTGCATGCGTCGCAGCACTGCGCCACTGACGACCCGGGCACGGTCGCAATGTCCATGCCGTAGTAGTCGACGTTGGCGATCGAAGAAGAGCACTGTCCTGTGGGCGGTGCTGTTGTGGTTGGCGGGTCGACAGCAGGGACCACGACGCCCGATCGAACGCCTGCTTTGGTTGTGCGACTGCCCTGGGTGTGTTTCAAGTAGCACGTGCCATACGCGTACGAGTACAGCTTGCATCCCGCTGTGGCTTTGCAAATGCCGCAGCAATCGTCTGCAGCGGCGGCGGCGACCCCGACGAGGTCCCCACCCGGATAGTCGATGTCGTTTTCGATGGCCGGGCACTCCTCGGGGTGAGGAGGCACGACGACACTGGATCGAACGCCGGGTTTGGACGTTCGTGGTCCCTGGGTGTGTTTCAAGTAGCACGTGCCATACGCGTAGGCAAACAACTTGCATCCTGCCGTAGCTTTGCAAATGCCGCAGCACGCTTCTGCGGCGGACGCAGCAACGCTTGTGAGGTCTCCACCTGCATAGTCCGTGTCGTTTTCGATGGCCGGGCATGGTGGTGGCGTCGCCAGAGTCGCGGAATAGACGCCACGCTTCGCGATGGCCGACCCGTTGGCCGACTTGAGGTAGCACGTGCCATACGCATACGAGAACGCGTTGCAGTGGGCAGTCGCGGCGCAGATGCCACAGCAGTTGTCGACGGCCGCCGCGGCGACGCCCGCGATGTCGTTACCAGGGTAGTCGACGTCGACAGCGATGGACGAGCACGTCGCTTGCTGGAGTGCCGGCTCGGCTACAAACGCGAGCACTAGCAGCGCGAGGTACGAGGTCCGACGAGTGAGGTACGCCATGGACGCGTCGGAATCTCCAATGGCGGCGGGGGTGTTGTGTGGCCGCGCCGTCTCTGTGTGTCGTGCGAACGTGTTACGTCGCGCGAACGTGTTACGTCGCGCGAACCTGGCCGCCACCGTCGCGACCACATTCACTGGCCTCAACCAATCCACAGGATCGAACGGCGAAGTTCGAAGGCATGTTTCATGCGCCGTGTGCGCGAAAGCGCGGCGCCTGGGTTTGTCACGGTCGACAGGTGGCCTGCGCTTGCGTGGGCATGCTGGCTCTGTTTTGGGGGCGTTGCAGTTCG